AATATCATATACTGTATAATCATATTTACCTAACTTTGGAATTAATTAATCAGTGACGTGCTGTATTATTTCGAGAAGATAAAGTGAGGACGATTCTTTTTTTTTTTCGTTACGATTATCTTTTTGTTTTAAAAGTCTGTCATCTAGGCCTAACCTATACCTAGTTGCTAGCAGCCTACTCTATATAGAATGAGGCTCCTAAGAAGAGTCAACACTGCAGAGGAGAAAGGTTGGTTGTTCAGACACTGAGTAGGTTTGTGAATCGTCGGCGATAATATTAATTTCGCCTGTAAATGAATGATAAAAATATTAATAACATGAAAGTTTTTTAATTGTATCTAGGCGCCTAGGCCTAGGCCTATGGCTTCGTAAACTTTAATTTATGAAATAAAATATGCTGGTCATCTTCAAACCGACAAATAGCCTAGGCCTATTTGTAAATTGTAATCTAAACAATAAATCAAAGTTGAAGAATCATTGCATTGAGAGAAATTTTTGTACAACATATGCCTAATCATTCATAATCAAGAAGCCAGGCCTTGTAAGTAAAATAACAGCATTCTCCACACTTCTGTTTATAATATTATTAGTGAGTTATTATTTATTATTCATTATTTACTATTCATTGAAATTTTGATTTGTAATTTGTAAAACATTTAAACGTTTTGATTTAAAATATGTATTAAAACAATCAATAGGCCTATATTATAACACAATTAGGCCTAGGCCTATATCTTTAAAGTATATGTTTATCTTTAAAATCTTTAGTTGCACAATTTATTGATTTGTAAAGCACAATTGGGCATGTTTGCATAGCTCAGGACTCCTTGGACAAGTTTTCGCTTTTATTGGAGGATTCAATTTTTATTTCTAATTATAATAATTTAAGCTACCTTTGACTGATACTTCATGTAGCTTTCTGGAAATTTAGATATATATTTTAATAGCAAAGTGCAACAACGCATCTTTTTATAAATCATTGCTGCTTGAAAATTCTTTCTTTTTTTTTTTTATTATCATCGTAATTAAGCTGATTTAAGTACTACCTTAAGATGTTCGGCCGAAGAAGTACCGAAATTTAGGCCTGTCTAGGCCTAGTAGTAGTAGGTGGATATATTATTACCGCGAAGTGGGGCGGGCGGTACATGCCTTGTAATTTACTACGTGGATAGCGAAATGTTTCGATCGCCATGCGAAGTTAAAATAAAATACCAAATCCTCCTCCTTTTTGGAATTTAAGGAAATTAATACATTTTTGTTTCTTTGTTGGATCGATTGCAGCAACCCAAACCCAACATAACGGTATTTCACATTATATAGCATTAATCATCTATAATAACTGCTAACTTCCTACCCTATCGCGTTGTTTTGTTTTGGTGACAACATGGCCGGTGTAAGTCACGTGATTGAAATCGAGTTGGCCAAACTCTCTCTATCTACGGCTCTGGCTCTCTGTGTGACGTATATGTCGGTTGTTTCAGCTCTATTTGTTTTACTGCACTTGGAAGTAACACCTATACTAAGGGTCGAATGATGGCACGTAGAAAAAAATTATTACACTTTTTTTTTTTAAGTGATGAAGGTGGGTGGTGTTTTTTAAAATAGTTTTTTTAAAACAATTTTTTTCTATGTGCCCTTAAAACTTATATGTCCTCCATAAATGTAATTGTCTCATAAAACACCTGAAAGTATTACCTTCTAAGTATATTTTCATCTTTTATTAAAAGATGTATTGCAAACCAATTATTTTTTTAATACATTAATAAAATAACAAACAAGCCAGCAAAAATAATTTTTCCTTTATATATATTTTAATTTCAGCATAATATAAATCACCCATTGTAAAACACAAATCTGTAAATTCTAATATACTTTCTCAAATACATTGTTTAAAAAATATTTCACTTTCCAAAGATGCTGTATATCACCAAATTTATCTCCTTTAATTCATCAGCCATCTTTATATTTTCTTTAAAAATATAGATATAAGGATTTTCTACTACACTCCACATTGTTTGAAACAACAATTGAATATTCTTTAATCTTCGGAATAATTAAAAAGTTGATATGTTTGCATATCTTTAAAAGCGATCAAGGTATGTCTTACTCTTCAATAGGCCTATAATGGCTTAATCAACAAAAACGGTACAAAAAACTACAGTATATCAAACACTTTTGTAGTAGCTCACACATGAGTAGGTTATTGAGGGAATAAAAAGTCCATTTCGTGACTTTACAACCGTGAATACTATAAACAAAAACAGCCGAAACTTATAAGCATACTAATGTGTTTAATTCCCTAAAAAACAATTTTGAAGGTTTATACTACTTGGTGGTATTCATTTATTTTTTGTATTCCATACTTTACATTTATAATAACATATAAAAATTCTTTATTGTTCATTCATATAAAACAGAAATGTAATTTGAACTTGCATACTGTACATTTACAAATTTTAACAATAAAGGCAAATGCACAACACCATCCATAAAATAAACAATTTACCAATACTGAAATAAGAGGTTACATAAATTGCACAATTAACTATAAAAATATGACCTTTTTTCAAACAATTTATAAAAGTAGCAAAATTCTTTTGCAAACATAATCATATAATAAATGATTTTTGTTCTCAACTCTGTTGCACTTAGAACAATTCTTTAGAGTCCATGAGAATCAAAATGTCTATGCAGCAAATTAAAATTAAAATATGCCATCTTTCTTTCTATTATTTTAGCGACATTATTGGTCCATGTTAGTAAAGATACAGTAAAGATAGTAGCCCTTACTTGCATTGTCAACTGTGCTGAATTGCACAAGGGATAATGGGAGTAGTTTTGACTATTGTTAGCTGTAGAGGGAAGTGCTTTACTATTTATCACCCCTCAATAAAAAAGCACACCAAGTGGAAGTTCTGATTAATATACTGTACTAAATCTGTGTCATAATTGTATGCACTATCTTTATGTACAGAGGGATGTCGCTAAATTGGCATCAATCACTCTACAGTATACCTTAAATCAATAATATCATGCTTGAATATAAAAGGTGGGCCTATTATCTATATCAGGCCAATTTAAAATTAGAGAATTAGTGTACTTATCACACAGTCATGATTAATATCAGTTGCCGATAATGGCACTTGCATAGTTCTTGTGACGCGAAAAACCATACGTCATGTGTTTAATAGGCTGTATATATTTATTTTAGTTTATCTGCAATTCCTCTCATTCGGGAATAGATTTCATCCCAGTCGATGTAGATTCCCTGTAGGTGACGTGGGGTTTGACACCCTGGTGGAACTGTGAATGCTGAACGTCCATGCAGTACCCGAGTGTTATTAAAACAAGCTGCTTCACCTGTAAAGTAGAAATTTTTGATTATGATTTTTCCACTGTAACATTTATCAATCATAAATTCTATATTACCACAGAGCTTTAACATAATGCCAGCACACAACTCGTTGTGCATGAACATTCTTTTACCCGTAAAAGCCCCTCCCCTTAGTTATTGTTGTATAAACGTATGTAGCCTACTGCCACGTGTATTTCTGGTACAACACGTATGCTTGCGTGGCAAGCGCTAAAGTACTAGCCCTGACCAGATTCGTCAATTGTTTAGTTTGACTAACACTCCAAAAAGCTGCACTGCTCTGAACAAATTGTGGGCAATCAGCTAAACTGGTGGAAGCCACTGTGTGTGCACTGAACCGTGAAGATCTCTTGGTCCTTGGTTCTATTCCCATCAATGCTCTCCTTGTATTTAAACTAGATGGCTGAAATGCAAGTTTCAAAAGTGCGCCGTCTTTTGGATGAGACATTTAAGCCGTTGGTCACATGTGGAAAATGGCTCATGTGCATGTGTGATAATGTCCTCCTGGTTAATGACCTTTAAGGTGGTACCAAACACAGAACTACCAGGAGACCACTGTGGTGAAACTGTGGGTAGGACTAGGATCTAACTTGTCATCTTTTAGTGATGAATGGTACCTTCTTTGGAAATACCACATTACGAAATGAGGGATGACTAAGTTAAGATTCTACCAATTAGATTAAGTATTTAGTAATTAAGAGTAGAGTAAGGGGAGGGACTAAAACCCAGTATAATAATTAAGATTCCCTCCTTGATGAGTTAGTTAGAATTGTCACTGCTTTATAGAAACAGCTTGTACATATCTGCTCC